GATGAAAAATTTTAAATTATTTAATATTTCTAAACCAAATTGCTTGATCATAGAAAGTTTTAGGCAAAATTAACATTAAATAAAAGATAAGTTTGTTTTTATATCATTTTTTAATATAATTTTTATATATTATTAAATAAATAAGTATATTTAATATTATTAATTTTAAATAATATATAAAATTATCTTTAAATCATTTTTTTAAATTATTTTAACTTATGCTTTTAAGGTACAATTTAAGAGTTTATTTTTTAATGAATGTGTAAAAAAATATAAAAATTAATATTAATTTTAGTATCAAATAAATTTAATTAAATAATTAATAAATTAAAAATTAATTTTTATTTTTTAATATAAATTTATAAAAAAATTATTTAATACATCTTCCATCTATATTTTTAAAGTATAAATTACACAAATCCTTAAAAAAATACTTAACACAACTTGCTGTCTGATTCACGATGCAAAAGGCACCACTAAAAAATTGGGAGCATGCAAACACTGTCATGGGGACACGTGTTGAGTTTAGTGGGGCGAACTATCTCCCGGTGGTCCCCCTCGTCCATCTATGTGATGATGTTTAAAATTAATTAAATTTTAAGTCTCTTAAAGTTAAATGAAAAGAATATTATTATAACAACAAGATTGGATCTATTTGTAAACAATTCTTATCTTATAAATCATGTTTATAAGTTAAGTTTTAAGGTGAAGTGCACTGTTTAAATTTTAAAAAATATTATTATTCCTACTAATATATTGTATCAGTAGATATTTATTTTTTGTTCATAGAAAAATTTATTTGAGCTTGTCCAAATATCATAATAACTTGTTGAGATTTCTAAAAAATTATACGACTAGAATGCAAAGAAGCATTTATTTTTTCTGAATTTATTTTTTTGGTAAAGTTTTTTCTGCGTTTATTTAAACAAGTTTTGCACTTGTAGGACATTCTATGTCTTTCTTATTGTTAGAAAAGAGAGTACCGACATACCATATGAGCATTGAGAATTTGAGATCAAATTGGCTTGCAATGGAGGGAGGACTAGAGAAAAAAGAAACTTACCAAATTCATCACAAAATGTATATAAGAAAGAGATAAACATCTATCTATTAAAAAAATAAGTCGATAATCACTTAAAATTATATTATTTTAATAAATTTTTTAACAAAATATTAAAATATATTTTAATATTTTTAATAAAAATTTATTAAAATAATATAATTTTAAAATATTTTTTAACAAAATATTTTACATATCCAACGGACAAGCATTTTCTTATATAAGAAAGTGATGTGAATTCTTCATTGTTTGGAAAATGAGGGCGGTTCATTTTTACAAGTCATAATCAACTTTGACTACATTAGTGGATGCGTGAATAATAAGAAATGCATCAACCATTAATAAATTTTTGACCCAAATTCAAAATTGTACCTTGATTAAAAAAAAAACAATTACAAACACAACATGTTATAAATCAACCAAACCTGTTCGCTTAAAACATTTTTTACTCACCAAAACAAGAGTCTCCTATTGCTTTTCCTAGCAAAATATTCTAACATTTTGTAGAAGAATGGATTGCTCGAGACTTGCCTATGTTGAGGAAATGTCAAATCGAAAACCCTAATTTCAAAGGAAAACATCAGCAACTATAGCGACCCAAGCCCCATTTACACATTTATTTATGTTAATAATGACAACCATTCATTCATATATTAATAACAAAAAATTGGTGTGCTTATGATATTAACATATATGATTATAAATTTATAATGGTGATATTATATATTAAATGAATAAATGTATAGATGACTTTTGAAATAAAAATCATTAATTATATAATTATATGTCATGATTTTAAATTTAAAATGTTATAAGATATTGTAAGTATAACATTTTCATATTAATAAAATGGCAATCATTTTCAAAAAAAAAAAAAAGGAAAAAAAGAAAGAAAGAAAGAAATAAAGAAAAAGGGAAATAAATGAAAGCAACATCAACGGTCCATTCTTTGAACCTTCTTAATTAACTTCCTCTATTTCATTTTTCAATGCATCATCAATTACCTACTCATTGTAGTAGTTACTAGTGAAGACTTAACTGCACCACCATTAAATGATTTCAAATTTTTTCTAATTTTGCCCTTTACGCCATGGAGCCAGTTTAATTAACTAAAGTCTTCATCTTTTCTCTCAAATAGCGAATCTGAATTCGAGTTATGATACAAGTGGATTATTCCCTTTTTTTGAACCAAATCAAGGGAAACCACAGACTAATATTACTGAAATCATAAAAAAGGCTCCATTTTTCAATCTTTCTGCCTTGTACCATTGTCAATAAAGCACAATGCATGGTTCAAATGTTGAAGTTGAGAGCTTGATGAAAAAAAAAAAGAATGTTGCATTCTTGAATGCTTTGGATAACAAATGCAAATAATAGAATGTCTAAGAATCACAGCTTCAAGATAAAAAAAAAAGGGGGGGGGGGGGGGGAATCACAGCTTAAAATGAATGAACATATTAAACTTTAAATTATGACATGATCAAATCTCAAGACCGTGGTAAAAGTTATTAACTAAGCCAGTTCATGAATATCGCTTCCTACATAAAAATTTTTGGGGGGCTATTCCTTTGGAATTTTACTGAAGCTTTCAATGTTGAACTAACAGAAGAAGGGTGATATCAACAAAATGAGAAGTTCTGATGTTTGTGATAAAACAATCATACCATGTATGTCATGCCAGCTTGAAGGATGTCCCTGTGAGGTACGCTCATATTTGCGGTTCCAGCTCTGCAGTTTCTCCTTAAGAATGCATAGAAGTAGTTTATAACCAATTTCTTGAGAAAGAATGAGTTCTTTTTCGCCCTCACATCCCCATTTGCAAGCAGATAGGTAAATCCTGAATTCATTGCTTCTCGAAGAGCTGAGAGCTCGTATTCCAAACTTGGGTCCTCTTTTGATATCACACTGGATGGCAATGCTGATGAAGAAGCTTCTTCTGAGGTAGAAGTAGCTGCCTCATCCAATCTGTTGTCTTGCATCAATGGAATTAGAAGCTCATTGTTGCCAGAAGCATTCTGTTTTCCAGATCCCCTTGAGCTCACTGAAGTACTATCAAGATCCATCTCCTTTAATTTAATATCCAAGGCAGAGTCTTGAGCTTCTTTTCTTAAGAAGTTCTCAAGGCTTTGAACCAGAAGTTGCTCAAATGCACGGTGATCTTCCTTTCTGACATCTTTATAGCCATAACGAGCAATGCAGCGGAACATATGGTAGTCTTTTGGGCAAACTCTTCGAAAAAGAAATCTCTCTTCTTGAGGGACAACAGGAACCGGGACAAACTTGATGCATACAAATACAATAGTAGAATGAATGGCAGGAAGGCTAAGTAGGAACTGTCCAAAAATTGAGGGAATGCCTTGGACAAGCTCATTGTATAACAAGCCAATTCCTGGAACTCTAACCGTCCCTAGAGTGGAGCCAAGCTCGAGCATAAAGTCCATTGATATCTTCTCCCTCACCTCACTCTGGTACTTCAGAACACTGCCGTAGTTCCAAATATACATTATAGTGAGAAATACAGTAGCAAAAACAAGAGGAAGCCAACCTCCTTCTAACACTTTTGATAGAACAGCAGAGAAGTAGGTAAGCTCCACTGATCCAAAAACAAGCGGAAAACACAAAGCCAAAAACAAGTTGGTCTGCCATATGAGAAGCATTACAAGAGTCAACAAGGTTGTTGTGACCATCATGACGACCACTTCAGCTATGCCTGAAAGAGCAGTTTGTATAGGGATTGACATATAAAATGTATCAAGAGTTATCTTGTATTGTAAATAAAGAAAACTGAATAAGAGTTCAAAATAAAGTAGGAAGAAATATAATGCCCAAGGAAAATTGTAAGCATTTGTAACTGATTTGCATGAGGAGCAAAAGGAGTAAAGGAGTTGGAATTTAGAATGCATACTAACCATATGCATTGGCAATGTCTGTAGTGCTTCGAAAGATGGAGACAACAATTATACACATTGTCATTAGAAACCAATTGATTACAGGGATGTAAATTTGACCCATCAGTCTCCTTGAGGTGTGAACTATCTTCAGTCTTGGGAAGCATCCAAGAGCCATAGACTGCTTGACGCATGAAAATGTAGCAGATATCATTGCTTGGCTGGCAATCATGGCAGCCAAGGTGGCTATCACAAAAACGGGCCAGAAAAGAGCAGCTGTTTGTTTTCAAGGTGTAGGAAATGAGATTTGATTCAAAAGCCTGAAACAAAGAGAGAAACTGGACTGAAGAGAAGCAATAGTTTTGATGGCAACTGTTACCTGGCACGGAATCATAGAATATTCTTCCTGCAGAACCTGGATATTTCATTAGGTATGCAGCTTGACCCATGTAGGCCAAAAGAAGGCACGGAAACACCACACAAGTGAAGGCAATCTGGTGCAAGCAGTACAGGTTAATCATATAAAGGAACTTCCATTTAAGTCATCCTTCAAGAAAACAATGACACATTAATGCAGAAACCAACCTGTATGGCTTTCACAGAGAAGTGACCTAGGTCAGCAAACATTGCTTCTGCCCCTGTTTTGACAAACAAAAACATGAAATGGCATCAAACACAGATCATTTCTACATAATAGGACAGAATTCTAGAAACCAGCTTTTCAGTTGGAAATGACCAACTAGAGGGAGCTTTTAGGAGGAAGAAAAATAAAATCTCACTGTAATAACACTCCAGGAAAACGTTTGTTTTGCAGTTAAGTTTTCCAACCACTAAAAGTTCATCAACTGTTGTTGCTACTTGCTAACCAGTATAATGAAGTGTGTGCTATTGACAGAGATGGTCCTCACTGGTTCATGTAGTTAGGATGGAAGGAATCTTAGAAACAAGAGTAATTAAGCCTGTTCAAGTGTTAACTAGAGAACACCTGTAATGCACAGAACACAACCCCCAAGAGCTGGCCATGCATCTGTGCTGTTCTTCTTGAAGAAGAAATAGATATAAGCCGGATTTAATGCCCTCACTACAGTAATATCATACGTCACCAGATTGTATAATCCAATGGAACCAAGAGAGAAGAACCATAAAGCAAGGGCAGGAGCAAACATGAAACCAACTTTCCCAGTTCCAAACCGTTGAATGCTGAACAATCCCACAAGAATTACAATTGAAATGACGACCACTGCATCTGCATCCATAATAGTCAAGAGTGAAGAGAGTATTTGGGACGGGCCAAGGAAAAAAAAAGGGGTGAAAATTGGCAGTTTATGGACTGAAGGTGAACTGATTGGATCATTCACAATCAGAATCATAAGTTATTGGTTACAGAAGTTCACAAAATATTATTCATGTTTGCTAGAAATTAACAAATTATTCAAGCAGCCCAGCACAACCCCAATCTAGAACTGTCTCTGAAATTATCCACATCAATTTTCATTACTTTTGCTTGCAGTATGAATGGCAGACTGCTATTTTTAATGGGAATAACTCCCCACCTTCACACCCAATACCCTTCCCAACCAGAAAAAGAAAAAGGATAAACCCCATCAACAAGGAATTAAAAGGAAGGAGGATGCTCCATCAAATAAGAATACGAACAGACAGAAAAAAAAATCAGTGAGTGCTCATTTAAAGTCCAGATATAGGCTGGAAGCATAAATAGTTTTGGATGAGTCAAGAGAAAATAGAATACCCACTTGAACCAATTCCTGGTATTTCTCCTTGAAGACCACTGATGGCGGACATCACTGCAACAAGAAATCATCATTAGTCATGTATTAGTCTTTTTTCGGGTAATATAATATTTATCTCATTGATTATAAGAGTTTGTTATTCTAGCAGGTTGTGATGGGGGCTTTCTCTTTCCAAAGTAAAGAAATATGTTAACAGTGACAATCAACTCGGTCAGGTAAAGAAAAAAGAATCCAATTTATCAGAATGCTTGGTCATGGCTTTAGCACTATTAATAAAAAGAATGAAAAGGGAGGAGAACGTTATGTTGTACATGACATGAGAAAGGAAGTGTTGCGATGGAGAAAGTTCTCTTCTTAAAGGTGAGTTTTAGATCCTTTCAAAGGAGCAACCAATTATAAGTTGCAACAACAATAATCCCAATTACATAAGCTATAGATTTGATTAAACAAATAATCAATAAGCATAAACTTGTAATCATATTTTCAGTACTTTACATGACTCCCAAATCCAAATGCCTCAGCAAACCCAGACAAATACAAGCGCACTCAATGCATCTTCAATTCTAAATAATGATCTATTATCCGCCATGTAATTACCAGTCATGAGATAAACTTATTGCAACTAAAAGAAACTACAATCACTGTTCAACATATCTAATTTATTTCAGCCATCCATGAATAAGGAAAGACAAAGCACAATTTTAAAAATTCATGCATACTCTATTTTCTTTAGCTTAAGGAAAGATATGCTCATCTACCTACCTGACATTGCAGGGGTTAGTATCCCATCTCCGATAACCATGGAAGTTCCCATCAAAACCAAAAGTAGAAGAACGGTTTTCAAGGATGATGTCCTTTCCAAAATCTCTTTTATGCTTAAAGCCCTTTCTAACTCTGGAGTGGGTATCTTGAGTTTGAAACTTGAGATCTGTTCATCGGCAGGCTGGCGATTTGGCAGCACGTTAACCTTTGCATACCGGCAAATCAGTGAGTAAAGTGCAAATGTTCCCCCTGCAATCCATTGATGTATCATGTGTTAGCATGTGAAAGAATATTTGATATGGTCAGCATAAGGTAAGGAGAGTATAACTTCCATCATGAGAGTCCTCACCTTCACCATTATCATTGGCTTTGAGCACCACAAAAACATATTTTGCCAATGGGATAAGAGCAATTGTGTAAATCACTAGTGATAAAGCGCCCAACACTTCAACCTCTGATGTAATAGACACCTTGCTAAAGACATCGGAGAAAACATATAAAGGGCTTGTTCCCATGTCACCATATACAACACCTAGTGTTTGAAATGCTAACGCAAGAGTGCTCCAAGTAGAAAATTCCTGATTCATTCATGTAATATAGTTTAGTAAGGAAAAACAACTAATTTTATTTACATGTAAATTCTTCAGTACAAGATCAAACATCTTCAAACATAATGCTGTCTCCTTATGGTTGGAATATTTGAATTGTGATAAATCCTTTACTCTTGATAGTCATTTTCCTTTCACATGAAATGCCAACTCTGATTAGAAGAAAAGTGAAATATAGAATTTCTAGCCATTTCACATATACATGATACATTATAATGTAAAACCCTGATACTTTTTCCCCATGCAGACTAAAGTTACTATTTGGCATTTGCTCTAAACATTCAGATTACGCTTCTCCTAACAGACATTCACAACTATTGCTTATATGAGCAGTCAAAAGTATCTTAAATATGTCCTTCATAGTTCCTGACCTCAACATGCTGGGCCAGAGCCAAACTACGGCAGATTGAATTTCTGAGAAACTTCATGGCTCTTTAGTTCTTTTCTAGTACTTTATTGGTTTAAAAGAGTTTCTATCCCATGTTGCCAACCCCTTCCCCACCTCGTTCTTGATCTAAAAAGTCAATTGAAAAACCTAAAAAGAAAAAGAAATAGCCATCTGTGTGGTTTCCTATATGATAGTTCCCTCAATGTCAATCCAACACTGGAAATATTGACTCAGAAATTTACATACAACCGAGATAAAAGGGCAAGTAAATCTTAAAATTCCATCAAAATGCATAATTCAAATAGATGATGACAGGCAAATTACCTTCGAGTGGTGACCATGAGCACCAGCAATCTGCATAGCTTCAACATCAAAAGAATCAACTCTCTTGGGCTTCTTCACCAGCCTACTCCTCAAAGATCCATACCCTCCTTTGCTATCGTCATCAGCAATTGGCCACCAAGCAGGTGAATCAGAGTCCACTTCACTACCATCAACCCACCTTAACTCCCCACCGCCGCTGTAACTCGGACTAGCCAACTTAGCACCACTGCTTTCTTCAATCCTATCTTCCTCTTCCATATTTCCACAATCCCCACTTGCAAAGCCTCAGTCTTGATATAAAGAAGAGACCTTCTTTCAATTTCCCATCATTCTGATAAACTTCAGCTAATTAGGTAGCTTCAGAATTCTAAGGAAAATCAAAACTTGACATCTGTGTGTTGCTTTTATCAACGATTTGTAAACACACACTGACACACAGCTTTAACGTGCAGAAACAAGTAAAGACTGCAATTATTAGGACAGGACAGACTCAGAGTTTGGTGTGAATGCAGAATGATGAACTAAAAACCAAAAACATTTGAAACGTGGAGCGCAAATTCGTACAAATTGGAATATGCTAATCCAGTCCACAAACAAATTGCGACATGTGAAATGGGACCATATTGGTATCGACATATAACTCCTACTACCATATTAGCGTATTTACTTGTTTTTGATGGAAAGCATATGGCCATATATTTTTTTTTATGGGAAGCGAATTGCCATATACCTATAATTAAAATTTAATTTAAAATTTAAAAATTTATTTTCTTGAGTATTGATATATAAATTTAAAAATTTATTATATTATAATATAATCAATTTTTAAATATATATTAATATTTAATAAAATAATTTTTTAAATTTTAAATTAAAATTTTGTTTTAAAATATAAGAACCAACATTTAATAAGATAGATTTAAAAAATTTTTTAAATTAGATTTTAATTAAATGAAATGATATTATTTAAGATTGAAACTTTAATTCTTTTGAAAATTAAAATTGATCTGCATTATTTTATTTATTTATTTATATATTAAAATGTCATTACTAGTTGATTATACCATGATCTTCTAAGTAGTAACTATGGGGGTGTTTGTTTCGTATGTTAGAGAACAACCATCAATTCTTGGACTTAATCAAATGTTTCAAATATTTTGAATTATAAATAATAATGATTATTAGTTATTGAATATTAACTCTCAATTATTAACTGTATCAAAACACCCAATTCAAACAATCCCTATAAATGTTTATTAAAATTATATGAATTTTAACAACAAAATCATATTTATGAATATGGAGTAATTTTGAGATAGAAGATTTTAATTTTTAAATGCCAAGACTAATAAACTCTTTATCTTTTTGTAATTAACTAAATCCCTATTTAGTATGATTATGGGTTTTAGTTTATGGTTTTAATTTTTATAAATTTAATAATTATTAAAAACCAAAACAAAAAATTAAAAATTAAAATTCCATTCATAATAAATTTTACAACTAGCATGGAAAAATATTTACTTATTTAATAATATTAAAATTATTTTAATTTTTTAATAATTATAATAATATATTATAAAAATATATAAAAATAAAAAAAAAGTTTTATTTAAAATTAAAAAATTTATTTCGACCAAAAATTATAATCTTAATAAACGAAACCTAACAAACAAAAACAGTTGACAAACATTTTTCTGATTTTTACATCCTCTAAATCTAAAAAGCGGCAGCTCTATTGGTTCAATCCACCATATAAACAATCCAACAAGGACAAATGGGCCTACCTTCATAAATGTCCAGTATATGCGACGGAAAAATCCCAAATCACTAATTCTAGGGTTTTAGAATTAGAAGTTAAAACCCTAGATTATCAACTGTGTTTTGCGATCCCTTATCCTCTCGATCTGTTCCTTTGAAAGCCCTAGATTTTTCTCAAAGTAAAATCATCTTCGTTTATAATCATTCCATTGTCTGTGATTTCTTGATTTTTTTGGCTACATTTCCCAACTGTCTTTCTGTACCTTAATCAAAGCCCATTATCAATTTTTTTGGTTTGCGACGATGTCTCGGGTTTATGTTGGGAATCTGGATCCTGAGGTCTCCGAGAGGGATCTCGAAGATGAATTTCTAGCTTTTGGAGTTCTTTGCAGGTAAGCCCATAAGAAAAATGATTTCTTTTTGGTTATTCAATTCTCTTGTTTGTATATCTTGTTCACAATTGTTGCCTTGATTGGTGGGTCTAATCACTGCAGTGTATGGGTTGCTAGAAGACCAGCAGGATATGCATTTGTTGAGTTTGACTATCGTAGGGACGCTATTGATGCCATTTGTGAGCTGGATGGTTAGTACGGTGTGCGGTCCTCCTTTCCTTTATACCTCTTTAATCCCATGGCCATAAGAATCCAATTACAATACATATGTTTTAAATGCTTCATTCCATTTTGTCCTAGTACATTTTGTTGTTTTTGATGGTATGAGAATCTTGATCAGTTCCTTCCTTTCGGCAAATGTGGTACATTTTTAGTTGATTTATTTGTCACAATCTCTCTTTTTTGGTAATTGAAGTTCATTATCTGCAGAATTTGGTAAGTAGGACCTATGTTTTTAAGTGTATTATTTAATTTGATTTTTCTAACTCTTTTGACATACTTTAGTGGAGTTCTTCGTATAAGGTGGCCTGTTCTATGAGTTAATTGTTTCCTTTCATGGGTAATGGTATTTCATAGTTTGATGTTTAATTTGCAATGTTAACTTGTTGCATGTTTAATCGTAAGGGCCTTTGCAGATCGTGCCAAGCATGTATGGTTCTTTAGATATAAAGTTAAATAAGTTAGCTGCTACCATTTTTTTTTCCCTACTCCTCAAGCATGTGAAACTTTCTCATAATTCTAAGGGTGGTGGAGGACATAGTGGATGCCGTGGTGGTGAAGATTTGAAGTGTTATGAATGTGGAGAACCTGGCCACTTTGCCCAGGAGTGTTACTTGTGCATTGGTTCAGGAGGTCAACATCGAAGCCCTAACCCTCACTGCCATATGAGTCCAAGTTATGGGCATGGGCACAGGTGCGTTTAACCGTTTTGTATGTTTTCTGGTGAGGGTTGAGGAGGCTTAATGTGGTCAGATTGAAACTTAATTTCAATGATCTTGAAAAGTGGATATATTTTCAATTTTAAAGTATGAATTGGGCAATTTATAGTATTTATTCTTTCTAGTACTTCATAAAACCTATATCATGTCACAGAATCTATAGCCCACATGGCCGAAAATCACCCCGACACCGTAGCTTCTCACCTAGTTGTGGTTGCAGCCATAGCAGGTCCCCTCCATATCATTGTTCTCGCCATGATTCTACATATGCTAATGGTAGGTTATTTCTAACTGTTAGTAAGTTATGTTGAATTTTGTAAGGGTCACTGATGTTCTTTTAAGTTCCCCCCCTGTTCTTATGCTATGTTCTTTTCTTGAGTTTGTGGTTTCACATGGCTTCAACTCTACAAAATGTTTCAGCCATCAAAAGGGGTGCCTTGGATGCTGTCTTGTGTTTGCTGGGTGGCAGTCTTCAGTTCAGCATTTGAAAGAGGGAGGTCTCTTTCTTACTTTGATTATTATTTGCTTGTGCTTATCTTATGAGCCTTTCTGTTGAGTTGGTGACTGTGGTAGATTTATCTATTTAACAAGGGATGATAGTAAATGATTTAATTGTTTGCTTTGATCCTGAGGTGTGCTTTTGACGTAAAATGACGTCCTTTGACCCTTTACTGCATGGAAGGTGAGTTGGCTCCCTTTGTCACTGCTTCTCTGCACCACTTCATCTACTTACTGTTGTTTGTGCTCATTATAAAGCTTGTGAATCAGATGTTGAAATTGCCTAGTCTCAATAAATTTGGTTGCAACCCTTTTGTGATGTGTGCATCACCAACAAAGCTTCTAGAACTTAAGATCTTCGGTGTCTGCTGGCTGGTAAAAGACGATGGAATGCCAGAATTGTCATCAATTTGATTGTTTTTCTGCTTTACATCATCTATGTCATGTAGCTCTGTCTCTTGTCCAGCAAGAAACTACAATTGCTCGAAAACCCACAACATCTTTTCTTAGTGTGATCTGCTCTGCGTCCTCCTGCTATCTGGTTCTGCAACGTGTTTTCTTAGCATGCTCTCCTTCAGTAAAATGCAAGGATAGATTATTTGCCTGAAGATGTGTGGGAAATATATGGTTATTCGTATCTCCTAGTACAAAGGTTGCACGGTACCCTCCAGGCTGCACCGATGTCTTCAATTTTATTGGACTAAAAAATTTTCCCCCACTCCCCTTTGTTTCCTCATGCTAGACAGCTCTTAACATGTTGTTGGATAGTTCTTTGGTTTGGTAATAAAATTCCTTATTTGATGCATTTCGCCAATTTCATATGCTGAATGTCATCTAAGATTTTTCATCTTAGCTTAATTTCAATGACTAAAGCTTTTCGTTTGTGTCAATTGTTCTGTTCTCAACTTGATAGAGGAAGAAACTATAATTTAAAAGCAAATAAGTGTTTTATCATTTAAATTGTATTAAATTATAAAATTTAATTTAAAAAAACTTTTTGATAATGAAGGAAACTTCTTCTTTTATTTAATAATAAGTACTTTTATCCTGTGTTTTAAAAATATAGGATAAAGATATATTTATTATTATTATTTTTATTATAAATGTATATAAAAAATATAAAAATTGATATTAATTTTAATGTTAAGTAAATTTAATTAAATAATCGATAAATTAAATATTGATTTTTATTTTTTTAACATAAATTTACAATAAAAAATATATTTAATATATATTTAATTTATTTTTTAAAATATATTGTAATTATTTATATGTTAATTAAAAGATAAGAAAAAGTGTTTCCGTAAGATTTGAAGGGATAATTAACAAAAGATAAACAATTCTAATTCAGGGTCCAAAGCAGGCTGTTCTTTAATTTGTATTTTTTATATATAAATTAGACAAACACTTTACTAATAAGTGATTTACGTCTTAAATGGGAAACCACTTCACTCATTCAAT